GTTTCTAGGAGATATGAAATAAAAGAATCTCAATTGTAACTCCAAATATTATTTTCTTTCACTCCCAGAAGCTAGAACACCAGGAACAGAAAGCTCAAGAAGTGAAAGAGAGGCTACGTTGTAAGCAGCAGAATTTGCACCAGCGCTTAGAAGAATTGCAAGCCCATCTGAATATGGAAAAGGCAGAAGCAGATAGCCTGGATTCTTCTCGGTTCTCCTCTGAGCATTCTGACTCAGGTGGGCAATGCCCAGTAATCATTCTAGTGCTACATCTTCATGATGCAGACAAGTTATGCAGCAAAAAAATGCACGGTCTGATAAGCAGAAAGTCACTGGCTACAATGTTAATGATAAAAAGGCATGGTAAATTTGGTGATTACCTCCTAGGGTGAGGATGACTGAGCCAGATTTACATTTGTTTTCATTTTATAGGCCACATGGCTCCCAGCCTACAACTAAAAAACAACTTATTAAAACAAAAAAAGGGAGCAAGGCTTCCCACAAGGAAGGCTTATGAAATCTCAGAGCAGGGGAGATCGTTCCAGAGGGCAAGAATTACAACAGTATGTAGGCTTCCTGGGGTCCTGCAAGATGACTTTAATTGACAGGACCCAGAATATACCCTTCTGTTGGGCTGAACTGGACAGGCAGAGGCAACAGGAAATATGTGGTCTCGAGGAAAACTGGCTATGGCTATGTTGAAAAGGAAGCTAGTATAAGAGAGACTGCATTCCATTTGAATAAAGCATAATGCTAAGGGTTTTTTTTTTTGTTCTGTTGCAGAAGAGGAAGTGGATGTAGAAGGCCTGGCATCTGCTAGCATTGGAGATGTCATGGCTGCCTTCAGTACTCAGCAGGAGCACAGCTATTCCAATGTCAGCAACTTCTGGTTATGGACAGAAGTTCAGTTAGGAGGACAGCATTCATCTAGACAAGCTTCAAGCTTTCCAGAAATTACTTTGTGGCAGGGTAACTGATACATGGTTTATAAGACTGTTTTCTGTAAGTAAAGAGGAGCCCCCCTTTCTTACAAAAAAGACTATGCACCTCCTCATCAAACCAAGTCTTGCATCTCCACCTTCTTCACAAAACCAACTAGGACAATTGTTAAAAGAGTTACATACTGAAGCTGGCTAACTACACGTAACACATGGTGGCAAGAGAAAGAAGAGTGAGGTTTCAAAATAATTGATATACACTTGGTTTGGATAGCTGCATCTTACACCCCATCCTAGTTAAGGTTTGTGGAACAGGCAAGTCCATTCTGCAGAGACTTGGGCTGCTGAGGACCCCCAGGCATTTTAAACAAAAGATACTTAGCTCTTATCTACAGGGAGGATTTTAAAAATCCACATCACAACAGGTAAATGCTATGCTCAGCTTTTTTTTATATGGATGGGTCTTGTTGAATGGACTAATATTAAAGTTTTGCTTCAAGAGACCCTTTTGCCATTGCAAAATCTAGGTTTTTCTGACCTTTTGACTTAGGTGAACCACCTTAAGATGTACTCAGTGGGTTTTTGATAACTGGCATTTTTAATTATAACCTAACCTAGTAATTTGTAACATTTATTCACCAATAGCTACCAATTCTCTGAAGTCTCATATACGAAGGCTTGCTTTTGAGTTGCATAAGAGGCAAGTGTAAATAGGAAGATAATTAAATCATTGATGAAAAACAGATCCTGATACTGAAATAAATTGAAGTCTATTCTTTTAATGATAAATACACCTTTAAGAAAGAAGATGATTGTCATATTTGTACAGTCTCAATTAAAAAAACATAAAATCTACAGACATTCTGGTCAACTTCCAAAGGAAGGGAAGCTTAAGTTAAAGTGAACCTTCCAGTATTATTGTACCACTCTTGCCAGTGGCATTTAGTTCCTTCAGTGGAAAAACTGTTTTCTCACACGTACTGTTGCTTTTTTGTAGTAGCTGCCTTGCCAGCAAAGTCCTTTGCCTTCTCAGTAACTGCCAAGGCAGTCTCCTTGGCCGTTTCCACTAGTGTTTTAGATGGTGCTTCACCTGTAAAATCAATAAGCCAAAAGTCCAGGAGTAAATAAATATATCCACAGTACCTAGTTTTTCTGTAAAACTCTGGTTTGGAAAATATTGTATAAAATTTTAATAGTCATTACCTATGAGGAATGATTTTACATTTTTAATACAGGTAGTCCTCAATTTACAATCATTTGTTTAATGACCAAAGTTACAATGGCACTGAAAAAAAGTAACTTATGACAGTTTTTCCACACTTTATGATCTTTGCAGGATCCCCATGGTCACGTAATCAAATATTTGGCAACTGGCTTATATTTATGACAGTTGCTATATCCTGGGTTCATGTGATCATTTTTTGCGACTTTCTGACATGCAGTGGTGAAACCAGATTCACTTAACTGTCTTAATAGCTTAATAACTGCAATGATTCATTTAACTGTGGCAAAGTAGGTTGTAAAATGGGATATAACTGTCTCACTTAGCAACAGAAATTCTGGGCTCAATTGTGGTTTTAAGTTGAGGACTACCTGTGGTACTTCAAACAAGTCCAAGAAAGCAATTAAGAATTTTCTTAATCTGCCTTTGTAGTTGCTATTACAAATGTACCCACCTTGCATTTTTCCTAGCACATATTCAAAACCTTTAGTAGTCTTGGTCACATTGCTCTTGAATCTAGCCAAGCCAAATTCCTAAAACAAGAGAACAATCAGTTGAGCAAGAAGCAGAGATAAAAATAGCCTCTTCTGTACTTATTAGGAGAGCTTAAATATTGAGCAATCAGCCTGGTTTTTCAACTAGATACCAGTAGTCCCAGATTGTTTATTACAGGCAGTCTCTTCTCTGTCATGCAAACACAGATCTGTAGCTCCCTTACCTGGATAGCACGGGAAACGCCAAAGAGACGGGAGGAGACCCAGGCTTCCCGCTTGACTTCTGTCCAGCTACTGTTTTCTGGGTTCTCTCTGTAAACACATCTCTCCTCCACTACCTGCAAGGGAGACAGCATTCCAAAATAACAATCACTTCCCCAAACCTTCTGAGTCATTTTATGTTGCAATAGTGGCTGCAAGTAAATGTAAAACATTTTACTATTACCATAAGACGTGCATGATTAATGTTCCAGGTGAATGTGGTCATGGTTCGATTCTGTAGGTCCACAATGGAATCTTCTAGGATGTAGACATGGCGGCCAACATTAGGTGGAAAGAAATGTTCTGCCCAGCGTGGCATCCGGTTGGTTTTGGTTAGCAGCCTCCTGGAAAGCAGTTTCTGGTCATCGGTCACCTCTCGGTGCAAGATATCTTCTGTTAGGACATGCTTGCTAGGTAAAAAAGACAAAAGAGAATTTAAGATACTACCCTATGTTGTGCAACTATAATTAAATAGCAGTATAACACTCCCTACTTATCTAGTCATGCAAATCAGTGGAGTCAAATAATATTTCTGTCTTAGCTACCCTATTTTCACATCTAGAATCTTGTCAAAAGCACACCTGTCCTGATTGGGAAGGAGAAATGGAGCAGCATTGCTTTCAAGTTTACTTTTGACAGATTTGCAGTTCTACTAGCATGCATTTATTTTATTTCAGAATCCAATGGGCAAAAGAAGTGGTCTCATGTTTAATTAGGTCGACCACCTTTTAATTATTCCAGCCAAATATAGATGTTAAAGTAGGGAAAGTAAGTTAAGTAGGACAGTACAGTGACCAAGATTAACCTTGTTAAGTTAATGAGATCAGGATAAAAGAGGCTTTGCCTACTGGCTTGAGAAGATAAGCAGTTGCTAACTAAATTTACCTCAGGAGTATTATTCTATACTATTGGGGTCTTTCCCTAAGAGGGGCTCATTTTGACAACGGTTTCTTCTAGCACCAGTTAAACCGAGCCAAACCATTATTATTGATCATTCTTTTCCCGCAGGAATCTTTGCATTTCTTTCTAAACACAGCAGCCAAGAAAAACCCCACCCCACCTTCCTATTATTTCAGCTTCCACTCGCAGTAGTAAAGCTCTCTCAGATGACGCTCGAAGCAGCCACAAACTCGGCTCGGCTCAGCACCGCTCGCTCGCTCCCTTCCTCCCTCTAGTGGGAAGAGATCATCACACGGCGGCCTCTTCGCCATTAGGAGGCGAGTGGTGGGAAAAAAAAGGAGGGCTGAGATTTGCAATCCCTCCGTTTTCTCCCCTTTCGACTTCTCCATCAGCTGCCCGCGGCTTCAGCTTTTACCCCTGGGGCGGGAATCCCGGGTCGGCGCAGAGCTTTTCCTCCCCCAGATCGAGGCTGCAGCCGGAGCCACCCGCGTACTTACTCGGGAAGTCATCGCAAAACAGCTGCGCTTTTTTTTTCCAATAGCAAGCGGGATGAACGAGGCGAGGTTTCCAAACGGCAGCCCTTTTTCGCGTCTTGCCCCGAAAGAAGAACCTGCTGCGTGCAACTACGGCCCCCCCTCTCCGCCCAACCCACACACCTCCCTCTCTCTCTCTCTCCCTCTCTCAGCCCCCCACCCGCCCCGCGGCCAGGAGACGAGGGTCCCGCCCCGCAGACGGCGAGGCGGAGAAGAGTCCCGCGGTCCGTTCCCGCGCGCTCCCCCTGACCTGTAAGGGTTCGGGTAGCGCTGCCAAAAGGCGGTGAAGACTTGGTCCCAAGGCCCTTTCAGGACGCTCAGGGTCAGGAAGTACTTCCCCATCGGCTCCGCGGTCACCGATCCGACGGGAGACGGGAGAGGAGGAGGAGGAAGGAGCCGGCGGAGAGCGGGGGAGGCGTCACCCGGCTCGGCTTGCTCCGACCCGGCCTCACGCTCTCCCGCCGTCCCGTCCCCGCAAAGCGGGCAGCGCTAAAGATGGCGGCGGGAGCAGCAGCTGCAGGCGCACCGCAGCCGCCATGCAGAAACAGGAGAGCCGTAACGACTTCCGCGGGGCGACGGCGGCGCTTCTTCCGCCGCTTCCTCCTCCTCCTCCTCCCCTCCCGCTTTCAGCCCAGGCCCCGCCCCCCGCCTCAGAACGCGCTTGCGCTCCCGGGGAGAAGCCCCGCCCCTTTCCCCGGGTATGTCCTGGGAAACTGCTCGGCCGAGGCGGCCCGGAAGGAGGCCGCTGCTTTTCTTCGCCTCGTCTCCAGTAAGGGTGGTCGGCCGGTTCCAGCGACATGAGGCCGGGGTGAGTATCGTGTAGCGTTTCCCTGAGTACCTGCCGGGCCTCGTTCAGCGCTTCGGTCCTTGGGGACAAGTGGTCCGTACCCCCGGCGTGCTCCGATGTAATGCTAATTGCAGCGGGCAGCCATTCCTCGAATCCAAGTCAGATCTTCCTTTTCGCGCCGCCGAGGTCGATTCCTGCCTCTCGAGCTGCCAACCAGTGGAACTGCTTGCCTTTCATCACTGGAGGCTTTTAAGAAGGGACTGGACAGCCACTTGTCTGGAATGGCTTAGGGCAGGGGTGGGCAAATGTGGCCCTTTTACAACCCGTGGACTTCAACTCCCAGAATTCCTGAGACAGCCGAGCTCTCTCAGGAATTCTGGGAGTTGAAGTCCACGGGTTGTAAAAGGGCCACATTTGCCCACCCCTGGCATAGGGTCTCCTGCTTGAGCAGAGGGCTGGACTACAAGGTCTCTTCCAGCTCTGTTCTGCTTCTGATGTTAGCTACTGATAGTAGGCGAAGTCTCTGAACTGGAAGGGTAAAAAACTTGTGCTTCTGGTCTGGTGACATTGTCTTCTCACGGGTAGGAGTATTTAACCTGCTGTTCGTAAGAAAAGGAGTGTTGGGTGTCTTCATCCAAGGCGCCATCACTCTTGGTGGCCAAATACAGAAGGAGAACAGAAGAGAAGGATGCCTTAGCTTTTGGTCAAATTATCTTCTCCATTGTGATGAATCACTGCACTTCCTCCTCTCCTTGCTTCAGGTGAACTTGCCTAACTGAGCTGCACCTCTTTGGCTGCTCCACCCGACTGAGTTGGGGGAGCTTAGGATCCCTCTGGAGGGCAACACTCGGCTGCCAGGGCAGGAGAATGAGCGGGCAGCGTGTGGATGCCAAAGTTGTGATGCTGGGCAAAGAGTACGTAGGCAAGACCAGCTTGGTGGAGCGATATGTTCACAACCGCTTCCTAGTAGGACCTTATCAAAATGTGAGTTTTGTCTCTTTTTTTGTGCTGAAAGTTTTTCCGCTCAATTGGACTGAATCCTTCACAATTCCAGCCATTTCTTTCCCCAAATTTCACTAAGTTTGGATTCTCAGGCTTGGTTTTATTTTAATGTTATAAGCAACATCTAATCAATATTAGCTGATATTTTCAGCTAAGCAGAGTTGGTCTTGATTGACATTCAGATAAGAAATTGCCTGGGAAATCCCAGGGCCATTGGCTAGATTGGATAGTCCTCAAACATCCAGGAGGAAAACAATGGCAAATCGTTTTGCTAAATGATGCCAAGAGCTCCTTTTTTATTTATAGAGTTGAGTTCCCTTGGTGCAGTCACATAATTGAAATATTTTATTTCTTAAGGTTAGACTAGCCCCTATCTTGCTGAGTGTTAAGGAGAGCTATAAAACATAGCTATTAAAGAAAGTCCTGAGAAAAGAGACCTGGTACAAGATGAAAGCCCCACTCTGGGTTGGGCCTGGATGTTATTGTTCCTGATGACCTTTTTAATATTCTTCTGTTGCTATTCTGTTATAGAACTACTATTACAGTTCTATTGGATTTCAGAAGTAGAGACTGAATAAACAGATAAATGACAGCCCTGTGGCTCTAGTCATCAGGATTTGAATCTCAGAGGGTTTTTACATTACTTATTGTGAAATGGGGAGCGGTTGATAAACTGAAGTGAAACTATTTTAAAAAGGAGCCATTTTAACTGGGGCAGAGAAATCTACTTTCAGTTTAAGGAAGCTTTGCAAAAAAAAATTTCTGAGAAGTTATTGATTCTCAATATATAGCGTCTTATCTGCCAGCATGTATTTCACTCAGTAATGCACACTAAGAAGAGAAAAGGTTAAAACACTTGTTTTTCCTGTTTATAAATCATTTATGCCACAGTTGCTTGGATATGATACATTTGCCTCTAAAAGAAGTCTTTGATTCACAACTAGTTGTTTAATGACTGGTTTGAAGTTAAGATGGACTTCCCCAGAGTTACTTATGACATGTTTTCAAAGATATGGAGGTAGCTTCTCTCCCTTTCCTCCATCAATATGATCGCATTTTGGGCATTTGGCAACAGGGTCTTTGCAAGGTCCGACAGTCAAGTGACTGCATTTACAACATTTTTGCTGGCTTCTGGTGTTTACTTCTGGTTTGGGGGGGGGGAGTCCATTGGGTGAAATAAATTTGCATAGCAACCACTATAAAAATATTTTTTAAAAATGGATCCATTCACATGATGCCTTAAGTTAGGATTGCAGCAATTTACAGCTGTAATTCTGGGGTCAATTATGGTTGTAACTTGACTGTGTGCATAGCTGCTTTCCAAAACTGACAGGGATATCATAGCTGTGTTCACATCTACCTTTGTTATTTTAGACAATAGGTGCTGCATTCGTGGCTAAAGTAATGCAAGTGGGAGGCCGCACAGTAACCTTGGGTATCTGGGTAAGTCACAGTTGAAATAATAGATATGTGGGCTACAGTAAACAATAAAAAACAAGAGCACTTATGGAACTTACGTTGTGCAAGGTGATGAAGGACATTTTGTATAAAGAGAATGTTTCTTAATTTTACTTCACAATACTGACAGTAGATATGTTTAATCAATGTTTGTATTGCATTATGCATAGTTCTCTGTAATGTGGAACTATACTTTCCCACTAAGTGGAAATCTGACTCTTCTCCATTACCTTTCTCTAGGATACAGCTGGCTCAGAGAGGTATGAAGCTATGAGCCGAATATACTATCGTGGAGCAAAAGCTGCCATTGTATGTTATGGTAAGCATTCATTTGCATAAAGCCATCATTTACATTATGGTAAGCATTTATTTGCATGTTGGTTCAGGCAGATTTCTAGAGCAAAGCTGACCATCTTAGCTTGGAATCGTGGGAAAGTGCAATTAGAAAATGCCAAGTTGGAAAAGGCAAATTTTTTTGTACTGTTCGGACACCAACTGCTATTTTCATTTAGCTCCCTCCTCCTATGTTACCACTTGAAGGAAGTCATTTCACCCTGAAATATCTTGCAATAGGCTCTAGCTAAAATCTATTGCTACAAAGACCAGGACGGATAGAGCTACATCTATAATACAGCTGGGTTTGAGGGCAATGCTATAGAAATTATTCTTCTGTTCGATCACCCAGCAACCATAGTTGAGCTGCTTAACAGCAAATATTATATACTTAAATCTAATAGAACACTGTGAGACTCGTCCTGGTCAGGAAATATTATCAGTGGGGAAAATCTGATTTTCTTTTTCTAATCAAACAATTTCATAACTGTACAATAGTGCTTAAAAGTTTGTGAAACTTTTTGAATTTTCAATATTTCTGCATAAGTAGGACCTAAAATATCTATTGTCCACAAAAGTACTAAAACCAGTTAAAGAGAGCCCAGTTAAATAAGTTATACATAGTCTTCAGTTAATGACTGCTCTGTTCAGCAACCAAACTTTACAACACTGAAAAAGGTAATTTATGACTGGTCCTCAAACTTATGGCCATTGCAGCATCTTTGCAGCATCCCCACAGTCATGCAATTAGGATTTGGAAACTTCAAAATTGGCAGGTATTTAGGATCATCACATTGTCCCTGTCATGGCCTCATCTGATCCCAGTTCGGAGGAGGAGTTGGAACTGGGAGTGTCCGATGGGGATGGCATCTCCCCGTCCCTCCTCACAAGGAACACCAGGATTGGGTTGACTTAAACAGAAGCCGGGGGTGGGAGGGAGGTCATCTTTGTCGGGAACAATTGCTTTGCTTTAACATGCATTTTCCTGCCTTGGAAAAACTCTGCCTTGTATTGTGTTTCTGCCTGTGGAATTCAACTCTTGCTTGCCCTATGGACCTGGAATCTTGTGTATGACTTACGGATCTTGCTTTGTGGACTTCCACTTTATTTTTGGACTTCTGGGCTTTTGCGATTTGGCTCATGATTATTGGCTTTGTTTGTGGAATTGTGGGTGGCTGCCTTCAGGGAAGTTTGGGATGGAGCTTTACCGGCCATTTGTTGTGGAATTAGCAGAGCAATAAAGGAGTCTATGGAAGCCTGCCTAGGCAACCTGGGCCAGAACAATCCCATGGTCACACATGGGATTGTTAATATCACGATAAAAGCGGCAAAATGTAACTATTTTTCTGCTCTTATCGCATCGGCAGATAACCGCCCAGCTGCCCTGTTTAGGGTGACCCGCTCCCTCCTCCATCTGGGAGCGCGGGAGGATCCCTTGCAGGGTCGTGCTGAGGATTTTGTTCAGTATCTGCACGATAAAATCACTCAGATTCGGGAAGGCTTGGTCTCTGACTGGGTAGGTACAGATGGGATGATGGGTGCCGGTCTTGGGACTGCCATTTGGGAGAAGTTCGACCCTGTTGCTCCCGAGGACGTGGATAGGATACTGGGGCGGCTGAATGCGACCACATGTTTATTGGACCCGTGTCCCTCCTGGTTGGTGCTGGCCTCCCGGGAGGTTACGCGAAGCTGGCTCCAGGGGATTATCAACGCTTCCTTGAGTGAGGGTGTCTTGCCATCCGCCTTGAAAGAGGCGGTGGTGAGGCCCCTCCTCAAGAAGCCTGCTCTGGATCCGGCTGTTTTGGCTAACTACCGTCCGGCCTCCAACCTTCCCTTCTTGGTGAAGGTTGTTGAGAGTGTGGTGGCGCGACAGCTTCCTGGGTACCAGGATGAAGCTATCTATCTGGATCTGCTCCAGTCCGGTTTCAGGCCTGGGCACAGCACGGAAACGGCATTGGTCGCGTTGGTGGATGATCTCTGGAGGGCTTGGGATAGGGGTTGCTCCTCTATCCTGGTCCTATTAGATCTCTCAGCGGCTTTTGATATCATCGACCATGGTATCCTGCTGTGCTGGTTGGAGGGGTTGCGAGTGGCGGGCACCGTTTTGCAGTGGTTCTCCTATCTCTCCGACCGGTCGCAGTCGGTGTTGGCCGGGGGGCAGAGGTCGACCCCAGGCACCTTGTTTGTGGGGTGCCTCAGGGGTCGGTCCTCTCGCCCCTTCTGTTCAACATTTATGTGAAGCCGCTGGGTGAGATCATCCGTGGCTTTGGGGTGGAGTTCCATCAGTACGCTGATGATACTCAGCTGTACATCTCCACCCCAGGCCATCCCAGCGAGGCCCTTGAAGTGATGTCCCGGTGCCTGGAGGCCGTGCGGACCTGGAAGGGGAGTAACAGGCTTTGACTCAACCCTTCCAAGACCGAGCGGCTGTGGCTTCCGGCGTCCCGGTATAGCCAGCTGGTGCCATTGCTGGCTATTGGGGACGAGTTATTGGTCCCCACGGAGAGGGCTCGCAACTTGGGTGTCCTCCTGGATGCACGGCTGTCTTTAGAAGAGCATATGACGGCCGTGGCCAGGGGGGCTTTTTATCAGGTTTGCCTGATTCACCAGTTGCGTCCCTTTCTGGATCCGGCTCTCGTCACTTCCCACCTGGACTACTGCAATGCTCTCTACTTGGGGCTCCCCTTGAGGAGCACCCAGAGGATCCAACTGGTGCAGAATGCGGCCGCGCGGGGGATTATGGGAGCGAGGGGGCGCTCCCATGTGACACCTCCTGCGTGAGCTGCATTGGCTTCCAGTGGTCTTCTGGGTGCGCTTCAAGGTGTTGGTTACCACCTTTAAAGCGCTCCATGGCATAGGACCTGGGTATTTGCGGGACCGCCTTCTGCCGCCGATAGCCTCCCACTGACCAGTACGCTCCCACAGAGGGGGACTCCTCAGGGTACCGTCAGCCAGGCAATGTCGGCTGGCGACCCCCAGGGGGAGGGCCTTCTCTGTGGCAGCTCCTGCCCTCTGGAACGATTTGCCCCCGGAGATACGAAGGATATCGGATCTCCGAGTTTTTCGCCGTGCCCTAAAAACTTTTCCATCAAGCAGGGCTGACGTGAAACCCCCACCCCTTTTTTTTTTTTTTTTTAGCCTTTTAAATTGTCAATGGGTTTTAGTTTGACTGTTTTAAATTTTGGGCCAAAGTTATATAATTCTTTTAAAAATTTTAAATTTTGTATTGGTATGTGTTTTAGTTCTGGCTGTGCACCGCCCTGAGTCCACTAGGAGAAGGGCGGGATATAAATTGAATAAAATAATAATAAAATAATATAAACAACAGAATTCTGGATATTCACTCTGAAGTCTGATCTTCACAAAACAAGAACGTGGAAGTCTGTCACAGTTTGACAAAAGGAGATTTCTGAAGACTTCTGAAAGCTGTTCTGTGAGGAGGAATGGGCTAAATTTCCTCTAGCTCATGTTCAGGACCAATCAATAGTTATTGGAAATGTTTAGTTGGTTACTGCTGTTCAAGGGGAGTTCACTAGTTACCAAAAACAAAGGTTGACTTATTTTTTGTCACATACAAATATGTTCCTTTAAATCAGTTTTCCTCAATAAATAAATAAATAAATGAATAAATAAATATAATTTTCTAATTTATTTAATTGGGTTTTTCTATCTAGTAAGTGACTTGTGTGGAAAACATACTACATATTTTTGCAGAAATACTGAAAATTCAAAAAGAACAACATAATTTTCAGCACGAAAGTATATTATTATTATTCATATTTCTATGCCGCCCACTCTCTGAGGACTCTGGGTGGCTTACAACAATCGACAGTATACTAAATAGCATATTGCCCCCAACAATCTGGGTCCTCATTTTACCCATCTCGGAAGGATGGAAGGATGAGTCAACCTTGAGCCGGTGAGATTTGATCCACTGATCTGCGGAGCTAGCAGTCAGCTGAAGTAGCTGCAGTACTGCACCCTAACCACTGCACCATCTTGGCTCTTATATATACAGAATTGAAATTGTACTTTGGTACACAGATTCTGTTGTGATTTAATGAATTGGGTCTCTTTGGGGGATTGAGCCAATAAAAATGACAGGTATCTGATAACCTTGCTTAACATGCACATAAGGTAGCCCAAATGGCTATGGTGTCAGGTCAACACTGGCTTTAATAAGAGCCCTTGATGAAGATATTTGTACTTTCTCAACTGAATTGATCCTTCTAGTTTCTTGACATAGTTTACTTATGCAAGGATGAATGGAATTGCTTTATTTAATCTCAGGGGTGGGATCTAGTCCTGATACTTCCTCTTTCCACAGATCTTACTGACAGAAGCAGTTTCCAGAGAGCAAAATTCTGGGTGAATGAACTACAGAACTTTGAGGAAGTACGTTGATCTCTATTTGTAGGCAGAGAAAAATTGGGTACTTGGCTTTTCCAGGACAACATCAAGAAAAATTGTGGGATGATGTTTATGGGGTCCTATCAGTGGTACCTTTTTATAATATGTGGATTAGGGTGGTTTGGATGGTTCAGATTATCTGTTTATTGTTTTTCTGGTGTTTAAAGTATAAGCCTCGTAGACTTCTTTTGGAATTGGATAGCAATAGCATATAAAAATACTGCTATTAGTTTTTAAAGAGAATAAATTCCCTCACCTCCATAGGAGATGCTTATGTTAGGCATTGATGTAGGCAATTGAGACACTGGAAGTACATTTTGGGAACTTGGCTTGGTCATTATGTTTATCTAATTTATCTCCCAGTGTTTGTTAAGTTCAAAACTGCTTTGGGGGACCTTCTGAGATGTTTCTAGTTAAAATACTAAACAGAATGAAGACTAACTAGCTTTCACAGTATAAATACAAACTATAGTGATTCCTATGAGGAGCAAAGTGTCAGTGGACACTTCATATATTGAAAGTACTTACCTTGTTTCTTTCTTTGTAGAACTGCAGGATCTATTTGTGTGGTACCAAAAGCGACTTACTTGAAGAGGATAAGAGAAGACGAGAAATAGACTTCCATGATGTACAGGACTATGCAGATGGTGTGTTTTTGTTTTATTCTGTTATAGATCAGTGTCCTTCTTGTCCCTGTAAGTCATTTATAGGAGGTTCAAATGTTCCATTGACTATGTCCTTGGAAAGGCAGACCATGTTTATTTATTGGTTATAATTCCTCATAAAAGTGACACTGCTTAAAATTGCTCAGTTTTGAGAGGAGGGCAAACGGTTCCACTGTCGTCTTTTCTAATACAGCAGTTTAAGGTTTGCAATTATGTGAGTTAGGTGTTGCCCTTCAGGGAAAATAATTTGCATCCACCTTTTTGGAGCAATGTCATTTATTTTATTTATTTATTTATTTATTTATTTATTTATTTATTTATTTATTTATTTATTTATTAAATTTTTATACCGCCCCCTCTCCCGAAGGACTCGGGGCGGTGAACAGCCAGAATTAAAAACACACAATACAAATATTAAAAAACATTAAAACGAAATTAAATTATCTTTGGCTTCTCCAATTTAAAACCCCTTACCCATAAAATTCCCCAATTAAAATTTTTTTAACCCAGCCCGGCTTGCTGAAATAAAGTCTTCAGGGCCCGGCGGAAGGTCCGGAGGTCCGGGATAAGTCATATCCCTGGGGGTAGCTCATTCCAGAGGGCGGGTGCCCCCACAGAGAAGGCTCTTCCCCGGGGGGTCGCCAGCCGACATTGCCTGACAGACGGCACCCTGAGGAGGCCCTCTCTGTGGGAGCGTGTTGGCCGGTGGGAGATTATCGGAGGCAGAAGGTGGTCTCGTAAATAACCGGGTCCTAAGCCATGGAGCTCTTTGAAGATGAGAACCAACACCTTGAAGCGCACTCGGAAGACCACTGGAAGCCAATGCAGCTCGCGCAGGAGAGGTGTCACGTGGGAGCGCCATGTCGCCCCCATAAGTACCCGCGCGGCCGCATTCTGCACCAGTTGGAGCCTCCGAGTGCTCCTCAAGGGGAGCCCCATGTAGAGAGCGTTGCAGTAGTTGGCTGGAATATTCATGTTTGTTGAAGGGGAGGGGGAAATGATCTGATTCCAAAATGGCTGTAATTTGTATAGATTGCTCCTGCTCTAGATCTAGCCCAGAGGTTGAGGGTTGTAATAGTTGATATCAGTTACTAACAGTTGAGAGTTTTAGTACAAAGTAAAGCATTTATCCTTGCCTTCTGACACATCATTCCAGAGATCAAAGCTGAGCTGTTTGAAACCTCAAGCAAGAGTGGACAGAATGTAGGTGCGTATCTTGTTTCTGTGCATTACATGCATTATGCTAAACATGTCTGGCATTCTTGGAACAACCTAATTCCAGAATAGGTAGAATGTGTTTAATCATATGTTCATTCCCCTATTTTTCTCTCCTAGTGTTGGAGACAGGAGAGTGTGAATGGAGTTATTTTTTATCTTTTCTTGATGAGAAAAGACAAAGCAACTATTTTTACCTTCTCTTCAACTAGAACAGGGGTCAGCAATCTGCGGCTCTGGAGCCGCATGCAGCTCTTTCGTCCCCCTGCTGTGGCTCCCTATTGGCTGAACCACCACTGGCTGGCCCCACCCCTCACCCTCCCCTCCAAATCATTCCTCGCCTGGCCTATATATGAGAGAGAGAGAGACAGACAGACAGACAGACAGACAGACAGAGATACCTGTTTCCTACAGAAAAGAAAGCACTGGGAGCAATAGAACCTGAGTAGGCGTGGCTGGGAGTGTGTCATATGACTGGGTAGGTGTGAGTGACATCGAGTTGGTCACGCCCATCCAGGTTTTGTGGCTCCCGGTTCTTTTCTTTTCTGTGGGAAACTGGTCCAAATGGCTCTTTTGAGTATTTAAGGTTGCAGACCCCTGAGCTAGAAGTACAATATAACTCTTAAGCAGATCTGTTCAGAAACAAGTTGTACTTAGTTAAATTAACTATCCCACTGAGGGTATACAAATAGACAGACTAAAAGGATTACATTTTTGGCTGCCTCAGCAGTTTATCAATGGGATTTTCATTGTTTGCTGTATTTTGAGTGTTTCATTGCTCTATGTGATTTTATTATCTCTATTTTTTAAGATGAGCTTTTCCAGAAGGTGGCTGAAGATTATGTGCATTTTGCTGCCTTTGAGTTAACAGGTGAGTTGCTGAACCAGGTGAGTTCTGAGCATCTACATCCACATTTGCTGTATTCCTGAATTAAGACATATCCAGCATATTATTCCCTGTGAAACTGAGACCTGGAGACCTTTAACTAAATTTAGAATAGTTATGAATGTGTCCTGAGAAGTATGGAAGGCAGCAGAATCTATGAGCATCTTTTCCAAATACACGCTCCTGTCTTATCAGTAACAGGGAGGATTAGGAATGATGACCACAGAGGAAAGGTATTAGCTTTTATGTGTTACACACATTTAAGTGAATTGTGACTGCCAAATTTTTCCACAGAAATTTTAATGGAGCCTTAACTTTAATTTGTTTGAAATCTGTACAACTTGTATAACCTGTATGTGTTTTGCTTTCAGAGGAAAAAGGAGTTGATCTGAATCAAAAGAACACTACCACCTATTTTTACAGCTGTTGTCATCACTGAATTCTTTATTTTGCCAAAAGTAACATTTTCCACCAGAGATAGCAATTCATGCTTTTTCTGGTGGGTCACATCTTCTACTTGCTAGTTGGAATGCCTTGCCCTTTGGATATGTAGAACATCATTTGTTGGCCGTTATCCAAGGAAACAGAAGAGAAATAGATCAAGGATATGAATATGCTGCAAAACGCGCTGCCTTGTTGAGTGGAAGACTTGATTGCCTTGTGCTCCCTTCCCAGCAGATATTGACTAAATTATTGAACTGTGTCAAGAATTATTATTTTTCATCACTATGCACAAGAGACCTTCTGCTGACTAGGGTTGTTTCTGCTATTTTGAAGATGTTGCCTGATTCTTAAGCTTATTTAAATGGCTTCTAATAAGTTATCTACATGTAAATAAAAGGCAGTGTGGTCTTGTGTGTTGAGGGATATGGTCAACTTTCTATTTCTGCTGAAAAAATTTCAGATTTGGAGAAGCACTTGGGGATGAGAATTTATCTGCAATTACAGTATGTCCAGAACTGCAGAAAATTAGGAAAAGAATCTGTGTCCTGGTTTGACTGCATATGTCATACACAGGTGGTCCTCACTTAATAACCACTTGTTCAGTGACCATACTTATAATGGAGCTGAAGGAGTGATACTTACCTCTTCTGATACTTGGGATGGTCACAGCATACCTGTGGTCACGATTGCCATTTGTGACCACCTTTGTCAGTTTCCTATAACCAAAGTCAACAGGGAAATGTATAGGTTGCAAATAGTGATGGTGTGATGATGTTTAATGATGGCAACTGAAAATGCAGGAATTTCTATCATAAAGTGACATGGTTACATAACCTCACACTTTACAACTGCATTGCTTAGTGATAGAAATTACGGTATTGGTCACTGTTGTTAAATGAGGGCTATCCGTCAGGGCCATATGAGGAAACTTTCTTACCTCCAAGCCATCTCAGAGTGGTTTAGGGATAACCATCAGTTTCTGCCAATTAGCAGCTGTCAATGTAGCAACAGAAACAACCCTTCTTTCAAATAGGGGTCTCTATTGAGATAGCTTAATCAGAGTTGGCCAAAGTAATTTAATACAAGAATGCATACAAAATAATAAGGCCCAATACTATGAAAGGATTTGTTTCTAAATTTTACACTGAGTAGAACTACATAGAAATTAGGATACTGGCGTTCCAGTGCAGTTACAGCCTGGTGCAATATGGGAGCTAGAGAATGCTAGAAGGCTGTAGAGTGAGATGATCACAGATGTAATTCTGAAAATGCTTTTCCTTTCCTGACGGATGGGTGGTAATGTTTTCTTTTATAAACACTAGCAGTAGTAAGGTGTACAATATATTTACACTTTACCTGTTAATTTGTCACTGCAAAATGGTTTTTCTACCTTTGGAGTTTTAAAAGTAGGACAACCTTTTACAAAGGCACTAAAAAGAAGGCTGCACATTGTTTTGGTTAATGATAGAAAGTGGCTCCATCATTTTAGGATGGTGAATAAGCAAATGGGAGTTTTCCTATATTTTTGCTCAGCTGGAACAAGGTCTCGGATCATTCTTTGTTATGTAGATGTAACTGACAAGAAGCAGCAGGACAGAGGAGCCATAACTTTTTAGCTGCAACCTATCTCTTAAAATTGGTTGACAAATGCAGCCTCTGAATTTTGCTTTGTGGCTTAATTCCCAAAGCATGATTTTTTCCGAGGAAACTATCCATTATTTTTATGAAAAATGCAAGCAAAGTGTGTGTCACAAAACAGCAAATTAGTTAAACTGCCCCAAACCATCTTATTGCCTACCACACAAGCCCAATATGTTCTGTACAGGAGGCAGTTACTCCATAGCCCTCAGCTTCTCAAAAGTATTGAGGCTATCAATGATTAAAACCTGTCCATCTATTTTGATGTATGGTGGTTTTGCTTTTCATTTGGGAAAATAGAAAACACTTTCCACATTTCGCTACCAATAAGCTCACAACAATCTTGGGAAACTTACCTAAGTTTCTAGCTATAGTAAGGTAGAAGTTAAAATGCCTTGTGTTAAGCATCCAGTAAAAAGTACATTTTAATTTTGCAGCACACTTTAAACAGTTTTTAATAATTTAGTCTGGACAGTTTTAATAAATCACCAGAAATAAGCTAGACTTCACCTTGTCCGAGTGGCAGACAACATTGTGCTGTCTTGGGGGCTAAGCACTGTTGGGCCCATTTACTGTTTGGATGGGGAAACTACCTGTGATGTAAAAGTAGCTTTTCTTTAAGGTAGATTTTAATGCTCTGCCAGGCCTTAATGAGACAATGCACACAGATAAGAGTAAAGTTAAACTTTACTTTACAGTAATTATGTTCTTTTATATACAAAGAATTACAGTACATATTTTGGGAATGCCTGGGTAGGGCAACCTTCCCCCCTCCCCCAATATAAATTTCACATACAGTCAACTAGGTATGGGAAGCAAAATGAAATTAATAACCCAAAGACACTTCCTCTTCTTCCAATGTAGCTATTCCAAAAACTCCTGACAGCCAGATCTCTGTAGAATTGGGCAGCTCTGCGTAGCCATATTGGGTTGATTTTTTTCATTAATACAGGTATATGTTTTGTTGACCCCTTTTCATCATCCATGCAGATAAAATTAAGCACTGGAGGGTTATGGCAGCATATACTGTTTACTCCTGCAAACAGCTCTGCTTAGCCATAATTCCCATTGATGCGCTCTCCACAATCAGTAACCAACATGCCTGAGAATGAAACAATGCATATTGCTTGGAGAAACAGTCCCCCACCCCCTCTCTTACGTTAGCTTTGCTAAGTGCCAATTACCTTATCTCACCCATTTTTATTTTGGTTTCATAAAGATAACGTATGATTTTTAAAAAAAGTTTAACATCACTTTTATAAATAACCAAAAGTATGAACAATACTGCAGCTGTTTTAAGAACTGCAATCCCCAAACTTCTGTCATAAATTTGTTAGTCTCTAAAATGCTGCAAGGAATTTGCTTTTGCTGCAAAAGATAAACACAAGATCCTCTTCCACCATCCGCCCCGCCCCCCCGAATCAATATTACTTTTGTTTTGAGCCCTCAAATGTAAGTAAACCTCTCCAAATACTTTTGACCACATACTAGGATAGGCTCTTAAGCTTTTACGAAAGTATCTCTCTTCAGATGATGACAGACCTAGACCTAGCAAATGTAAAATCGTCACACCATAAAGTATAGTAAAAAATGATCACTGGGATATCCTGCTGCCTCAAGGGTTTTTCAACTTTACAACCAAAAGAGCATGCTCTCTGTAATCTGGTTTAATTGGTGATGAGCAGAATGGACAGCTTTAGGGATTTATCTAGTCAAGAGTGCAGGATGAATTTGAGCTGCACTTTACAACTTTTCAAGATGTTGCTTTGCAGAAGCACAAAGCATACAACGACCTGGAGACCAAAAGGACTAGCGCGACCTGAAGTCCACAAGAACTAGCGCATTCAAGTGGCTGTCACATATAAATTGACAAGATATACCATCTTGAATATGCTAACAATTGCAAATCTAGAAAAGGAGACAGAAATGTGTCCATTATTTAGTGTAACTTTCTGTCAATATTTGAATACACTAATATATCTTGATCTTGGATGTGAATGTTTTCTCAATTCCTGTACTGCAATGTTTTTAAATGGTCAATCCTGGTCGTATCTAATTTTGACAGCTTTGTACATTCCAAGGAATTCAAGCACACTGTAAAATCTCATATATTAACACAAGGGGAATACTTTTTATGTAGCTCATTAGTAATTATGTGTATTTGGAGGAAAGACTTTTTAAAAAATTGAATATAAGCATATGAATGCTGCAGAATATTACATATAATTCTAAATTCCCATTTTTAATTAAAAATATGCCCACATTTTGAAACTATACATCCTAAATTAAAGGACTTGCAGTCAATTTGACATCTTCAGGAAAATGCAGAAAACTGGTACAGAGAAGCATGAAATATGGAATGGTTAGCAGCACATTACTGAACCGTACTGGCCAGAATTCTCCATATACTTCAATATTATCATGATCATGTATATCTATTGTTTCAACAAGCCCCATTCAAACCTCTGGGTAATAAACTTATGTTTAACTTGTAACTATTACAAGACTGACCAAGGAGTGCCCTCAATTTAGTTTTACACTGTACACTTTCCACAAGTAGCCTATATATTAAAAAATAAACCTTTTAACAGCTTCATGAGTTTTTGAACAGATCTAGGCACCTGCAGGCTTTAAGGTTCACTTCTCCCTTCTCAAAAGCTTAGATAAAATGTTTGGAAAAAGGAGAGGCACAAATTGTATACTTTACAGTTCTATACAGTCACCTGAACTGTATAATGCACACTGCATGTATGTATGTATGTATGTATGTATGTATGTATGTATGTATATATGTATGTTTTTACATTAAATTCTAGCCCAGATTGTTCTCAATTCCCCAATCTTTTTAATTTTTGGAATGTGCCTTCTTGGCCCATTTTTCAAAGGCAAAATATGATCTCAGACCCCCATCTACCAAAATTGCATGGCCCTAGACCAGACTCTTAATTATAGACCATCTTTTTCTGTCTAAAATAAACATGATAGCAAAGTAAAATATTTGCACATAAGCGCATCACTTTGCCCATTACTCAACAGCAGAGAAAATACGCCCAAATAACTTTATTCAAGACTAATTCTTGAATAAATTCAAGACTATTTTAGCCCCTGGGAATTCAACTCTTATCAACTATGTTCTCCAACCCTTATTTGCTCTTTTCTTTTGGACTGATGGCATTCTCTATTTGACCAGTTCCTTCTAATGTAGAATTTCCTGCCTCACGTGATCATCTGGTTATAGAGACCGTAACTTCTTACCTTATGCTAACCAAGACCCTAGGTGGTGATTCCTCCTTATGCCTCATATTTTCCTGAGGTTACATCTTGTAGTTTCTTTACTTAGCTTAATGAACTGGACATTAACCTCTGGACTTGGAGAGGTCTGTTGTGTTTGATAAAATATTCAAGTTGCTCCAGCTATACTTTTGCAGCGTTTTCTATTTCATTGCTTAGTTCAATTAACAGCTTTGTACTTTAAACAAGTTTAGTTTCAGGAGACTGAAAAGAGGAAAGGTGTAATATTAAATAAATCACTGGGCAATTGTTTTGAAATACCACTTGAAAAGTTTAAATTGGGTCAATCATGAGTTCCTAGCCAAAAATTCAGAATGTGCTGCTACATAAATCCCAGTTCTTACAGTCACCTACATGATCCCTAGGAATCTGAACAAAAGAACTCAAAATAAAAAGTTCTGAGTTTTAAAGATTTAAAATAGCCTCCACCAAAAATATTCACAGTTTATTTTTTTTTTCATGAAACAAATACCTAGTTAAAACA